GAGCGTGGGGGGGCACAGGAGGTTGTACATTCGCGTCGGCAGCAGCATCCATTACTTGATTTGCTCGCAGGAGAGTGAGTACTTGTTCCACCAGGATTTCAGTACGAGATGCCGAAGTCGAGGCGTGTGATGCAGCATGGCGTGGTGCCTTAACAGGTTCGTCCAAAGGCAAGGAAGCTGTGGGATGATCCATAACGGCATGGGCAGGGGCATGGCTTTTCACAGCGGCTGAACGTTCACGAAGTTGCATATTGGCAAGTTTGAAAGCCAAAGAAGACCTGGTCGGTTGGCCTACATCAGCGGGAGGGCGTAGAACAAGCGGTGAAGAACAGAGAGAACCTTCTTCTGAAGCATCCTTGTTTTCCCCCAACAACCCAGAGCTACGAAAACCACCCCGATCATACATCACTTGCCTGTTACCGTGGCCTGACCTCCGTCCCCCTTTTCCGCCGCGACTGCTGTCAGTGCTGGTCGCCCTGCTGTTGCCCCCGCTTCGGTTCTGGCTCCGGCTGCGGCCACGCCTAGACGAAGGCGTCTTTCTCCTACGACGGTCTCCGCTCCGGCTGCGCCCACGCCTAGACGAAGGATTGGTGCGCTGTTGACGTTCTGCGCTCCGACTCCTGCTCCGGCGATGGCGACTCGTCGGCGACGACCTGGTAGGCTGGTTCCCCACGGCTTGCCCTCGCCTGTTATCTCCGACGCCGCGCCCTCGCGAAGACTGGGTGGAGCGGCGGTGGTCGTCCGTCCCACTCTTGGCCGTCGAATCCCGGTCGCCCCAACGGTTCTTCCAGCTCTTGGACACCGGAGCCGCCGACCAACGGTACTCTTTATCCCCTCCAGAACCACGTGCAGGGCGTGAAGAGGCCTGCCGGGGGGCTTGCAGATCGTGCTTGAAGTCGTTGTTCGAGGCAGCACGTGCAAGAGACAGCTGAAGTCCTCCATCTTGTGTCACCTCCGACGTTCCTTGAGGACATCTATTAACAGTGGCACGACGGAGAGCGAACAAAAGCTGGAACAAGGACTGCCGCNAGCTGGAGTCCTCCCTCCTGGGTCACCACCGCCGTTCCTTGAGGACCTTCATGAAAGGTGGCACGACGGAGGGCGAACAAAAGCTGGAACACGGACTGCCGCGAAGAAGGCGGAGGGTTCGCGATGTACGGGGTGTGAAAGATGTGCCCGAAAGCAACGGTGTGCGATGGAGGGAATTGTGCACGGACAACTTGTTTGATGCCAGCCCATGCAAATGAGCTGCCAATTTGTCCTCATCGTGGAACGTGACACCTTTTTGCAGGCATCTCCAGCGGGCGGGACAGGAACGCTGTATCTCCAACGTGGAACTCGTACACCGTGGTTGCCGCCGCAAACGATGCTCCGACTTCAGCACCGGCCGGAAGACCCAAAGTCACCGAAAGCTCCGGAGTCGCTGTCCTCTCCCGCTCCTTCTCGTTCGTCGGAGAAGCCGCCACCTCCCGCTCCTTCTCGTGCGGCGAGGCGGTAAGATGGGAACCAAGGTGCACCTGGGATTGCGTGGGGGGGGGGACGATAACACGGCGAAGGGGGTGGGCGGCTGCTCGCGGGTCATGGTGGCGGGGCTCCAGCTCCTTCAGCCGGATCGGAGCGCCCCCTGCTTCGCCCTAGCCGCTAGGAGATACGCCTCACGCTCCGCCAGACAGCCGCACGCTCCTCCTCCTGCTTCCTCGCCGCAGCAGCCAGAGCAGCATCACGTTCCTCCTCCTGCTTCCTCGCCGCAGCAGCCCGAACAGACTCATGCTCCTCCTCCTGCTTCCTCGCCGCAACAGCCAGAGCAGCCTCCCGTTCCGCCAAGCGCTCCGCGTCCTCGCGCTTCGCCTGCTCTCGCGCCTCCGCCTCTGCTATCTTCCCGGCAAGACCGTCGCACCACATCTCGTTCGACCTTTGGTACGCCGTAAACTCGTCGTGGGGCAAGAGGATTAGCTTGTCTTCCGGCGGGAGCGAGAAAGGAGGAACGGAAAGGGGGGAATCGGACGACAGATGGGCCGCTTCTACAATATCCTCCAGAGAGACACGTCCGGTGTTGTAGGCCCGCNCAGACAAAATAGCTTTCGAGGGACGGCGAACGTACGAGAAATCACCCAATATATCGCGATGACCTCCGAGGCGCGTATCCTTGGCAAGGTCCCAGTCCCGCGGGCGCTCCGCAAAAGCATCACAAGCCATCATCTCCTCAGGAGAAGAAGCAGGGAAGAGGCTAAGTCTAGATTCTCGTGGGTGGTGAGACCAAATAGCAAGCAATCCGGTGGTTGTGAAAAAAGCGTGGCAACAACACACAGCAGTGTGGAAGCCGCTTCCAGCACCCGCTTTCCGTGTAATGTCAGCTGACGCCAAGTTTCAAGTAGTGAAGCCGTGAGCGGTAGCTTGCTCCTAGACATAGATGGAGGTTCTGTCGTTGACACGCTTGTCCACGACCACGTTGAGATGGGAAAGTTGCTTGTTATTGCTGAGAGACGATCAGCAAAGGTCTGGGATGAAGTGGGGATCCAACTTCATCTCAGGGGGTACACAGAGTAGACAATTCGAAGGGGATAGGAGTCAGAAGGGTATACCTACCTCCTGACCGACCCCGATCCTATCAACAATAAGATGTACCCTATTCATGCTAGCAGCCACACTCCTTAACACGTCCCCGCTTTACAGACACCATGTTGAAGGACACTTCCCCGTTTTAACGACACACAAACCTCAGAAACATGGTGCCCCGCAGATGTAAAATAGTAGGGAGGGGTAGGGTTTTCCACCAGTCGACACCCCCCCAGAAAATGTGCTCCAGCACCTGTAGATCCTGGATCATCAACAGCGGTCTGCTGCAGTCGCACACTGCGTGTGGGTGTATGGAAAGATTTATTCCATCTGCTAGCGGTTCCTCTGCTGTCGGCTTGAAGCCATGCGGCGAACCGACGTGCCAGTTCAAATCTGCGCTGGTGCCACTGGTTCATCAGTCGTGCATAAATCTACGATTTCAGAGGACGAGGTTCGCTCTCGTCTCGAAGATGTCCGTTCTTGTACACACACACATGCAAGAGACGGCGAGTACAGCGAAACGGCGTACCTTCTTTCGAAGACTGTGCATTCGTTTACTCATGAAACTCAGGTCAAGCGAAGAGCAAAGGAGGGGGGGGAGGTGCAGGCGACTCTTCGGGATATGTGGCGGTTGTAGTTTTTGGTTTCGAGAGCAAAGCACTTTTATTGCCAACGTTCGTTGTTTGCCTTGGGTGAAGTCTCGTGAGGTTGAGTTTGGCGTTTGTGTCGTGTTGTGCCCCGTTTTGACCTTATGGGAGGCGCGGTGTCCTCTTTGTCGCTGTGCTTTCCCGACATTTTTGGTCTCTGTGTTTCTGCGTAACCTAAATTTTCCTAGTCGTGTCGTTTTACAACCTTAGATATTTCTCAGGTGCGGTAGCGAGATCTTGGGCAAGATATTCACGGGGAGGACATGGCCAAAAAAAAATAAAAATGCAAATAATTAAGCCCATATCAACACCAGCGCACTACCGTCGTGTACATGTACGAATGTACGATGCGTATGTCGTAGAACACCATCGCTTTCAGCGTTTTGGTGGCATAGTACGGGGAATTCAAACGATGGTATGCAAGTATCTGTTGCAGCACAATAGCAGCAGTGGTTGCGACCTTCAAATCACCTTGTGTCGTAGGTTTCAAACAACACCTCTTGTGGTCGCCTTTCTGCTGCGAATGCGCACCTTTTGACATATAATTGGCCTTCATTGGCCCCGGGGATGGTGCGTTAGTGGCCCCGGAATTTCAAAGNATGTACGATGCGTATGTCGTAGAACACCATCGCTTTCAGCGTTTTGGTGGCATAGTACGGGGAATTCAAACGATGGTATGCAAGTATCTGTTGCAGCACAATAGCAGCAGTGGTTGCGACCTTCAAATCACCTTGTGTCGTAGGTTTCAAACAACACCTCTTGTGGTCGCCTTTCTGCTGCGAATGCGCACCTTTTGACATATAATTGGCCTTCATTGGCCCCGGGGATGGTGCGTTAGTGGCCCCGGAATTTCAAAGACACTTCCCCGCGTTAAAGACACTGATTTTTTTGGGGGGGGAAACGTGGTGTGTCCTTGAAGCGGGGTCGACTGTACGTAGTTACAGACGTTCCGATCCATACACAGTTGGTCCACAGTTAGTTGTGTGAGTGCATCGTGTATGCTCAAATGCGTGAGGCCCCCCTTTCGAGACAATGCCGATCTATTCAAAGGGGTGTGTTGAAGTCGTATTTACAATGCTTTTGACTACAGATGTTATTCGCTTTTGGCCCACTGTGGAGAACTGGCGCGCAGCTTACCCGCGGGCGGGTGTGGGCGTGTGAGTGAGCACATCTCCCCGAAACTTTAATTTTCGAAAAAGAGCGGGTGCGCGTGCGAGCAGCACTATTCGCAAAAGAGGACGGCCGATGCGGCAGAGGGTTCGAACACAGCACAAGGCGTACCGCGTACACACACGCCGGCGCTGTCATGTCGCATTCCTTGAGCATTGCACCGAACCAACACGAAAAGCCTATGCATACCACCTTGTACTTTATAGGAAATTTGGTGCTCGTCCAAGCCGGGTTTATGGCCTGTGCCAGAAGCACAGAGGGCTGCATTTTCAAATTTGAAATCTCAGGAGAGAGCTGTCAAACCTGCAGCGGCAAGGCACAGCCATGCAGAACATTCGGTAAAAATCCTCGGTGCTGCTGCTATGATGCTCGACGAGCGTCCGGAAAGGCGCAAGGTAACATGTCATATGTTCTGTTTCCGGGCCGTGCTATATTCTATGTCATGCAATGCACACACACGTATCATACATCTACTATTTCTCAATTTCTGGTGCCACCATCGATCTTATCAAATGGGATTACGTGGGACCACCTCCAAGCAAAAACGTACCATTCATCAAATGCACGAGGCGCATGAATTGGCAGCGGGCTGAGGAACGCCCATCTAGGTATCAAATCATTTGGACCACCTTCGCAAGGATATCAATATCAACTTACACTGCATAGCACCAACGAAACAGAAACTTGTCACTCTTTCTCTGAACTGCCATGACAGGGAGGACGGACGCTGGTTGCCCCCCCACCCCGAGAACAATGGCGGAGGTTGCGGTACTCATTCTTGGTGCAGTGGCCGAGATCCATGACATCGCAAATACATCAAAGAGAACGACCGGCAAGCTTATTGATTGCTCGAGAGGGTGGAAGCTATTGAGCCTGCTGTGCTCGCCGTCGAACAGGGCACCAAAACGTCTTCTTCCGAGCCACTGCGCCTGCTCTTCGCGACCTTGAAGGTGATCCGAAAGATTTTGGCAGAGAATGCACGGACGACGAACTTCAACCGCGCCCTGAAGCAAACGCCAGTAAATTCACACAAGCCAGCGATTCCCTCACCCAAGATATGCACGCGCTCGCTGGACGTCGCTGTGGACACGTGGGCCAACGAAGATGCTGCAGACCGCCTGCACGATCTCGAGAACATGTTGGACATCAAGGATGGAGCGTAACCGCACGGAACGCCACGAGAGATTCTGCGTGTTTTGAAGGTAGGCATGAGTGGTTCTTCCGATTTAGCGGTGTACAAGCAAGCAAACTCACTCACCCGTGTTGTCCTATATAGGCCCGTTACTTTTCTACTTATATCACTGTCTGGTGTAGCCAACAGCGCTAGGAACAAATGTGATGTGTGAGATACTGCAAGTAGAATATCTCACCAGCTACGGCGACGGAGTTGTGGTTCATTTCTTGGTAAAGACGTGGTGCTTAGCGAGGTACTGACATCGCGCGCAACCTTTACGTTCCTCGTTGGTATGCTAAATTGAACAAGTTTCTTTACGACTGCTCTAGCGATAATCTGACATGAGTCCATCCTACTCGTCGACATGCACTGCTGCGTATCAGGCACCACTCCGAAATGACGAGCGGACGGAGCTAACGGTGTGGGACGAGATCGACTATGACAAAGACCTGGACTTCGAGGGTCAGCACCCCACTCGGGTCGGGGGGGTTTGGCGAAGTGCTTGACGAACGAGCCATTCGCACACGCGCTGCAGACAGCATTCCTGTTCGATGTTGCCAGGGGCATGTGGTTGTTGAACAAGACAGGCATTTTGCATCGCGACCTGAAATCTGCGAACGTGCTCATGTTTGCCAATGGTCGCCTGAAGCTTTGAGACTTTGGGCTCTCCAAGATTATGCCGGAATCCTCAAGTAGATCGATTCAAGGGGCTGTGGGGGCCGAGCAATGGATGTCTCCAGAGGAGATGAAGGAGAGCCCAGCAAATGAACCAACGGACGTATACAGGTGGAATGTTTTTGCGGGCGGTGTTGGTATGATGGTTGCTCATGGGCGACCGTTCGCGGATATTAGATGCGGTAATTTGCTGTCTATTGCCGTTGCGGGTGACAATTGGTGTTCGCTTGCCCCATACGCTCCTCACGCGCCGCCCATCTGTCCACGTGTGCTGTGCCCGAATAGTGTTGGGGTCGTCTGCTTCGAAGTCACCACCCGAATGCAGCCGTTCAAGGGAATGAATCGTACGCAAGTCGTCAACGCGGTCGCGTGGCAAGGACAGCGGCCTCAAATTCCAGAGTGGGCGTTTGCGTCGCCAGATGTCGTGCCTCTGATGGAGCAGTGCTGACGCAAGACCCTGCCCATCGCCCCAAGGGATTTGGGCCCGTGGTACAGACGCTGGCAAGCGTGATGTCGCATGATGGAGACCCTCGCAATCGCAGCGCAGTTGATGCGGATGACACCTCGTCATCAGGTGTCAAGTGTAGTGGTGGCTTGCCGGACATTGACGCAAGAACGACCCCGGCTACGGGAAGTGACGGGGCTGACGCATCACCGCGAGTTGCGGGAAAGGAGAGCGGCGCGACCGCGCTGCCTCCAGAAGCTGAAAACGTGCATGCACCAATTATGGATCTGCCGATCGTACGCCAGGCCCTCGCACCGTCTAGTGAACGTAGCGGCGAATATAATCAAGGCACGGAGACGGTCGACGAAGAGCTCAGTATGAAGGCGAGAAACAACTTTTACCTCGGTTGTGTGGTAAAACAATAAGTGCGTACAGCCCCACTCACTGAAAATGCTGTTCGAATTCGTCAATAAACTCCCGATGTTCTCTTGCGCTCTCGAAAATCTACCGAACGCGATCGTGCTTTGGCTTTGCGTTCGTCAGGTCTGGTTTGTTCGGGTCGTGGAAACTGGATTCAATCCATAAGCTTGTACGCTTCTGTGCGTTACGGTAGTGAGACGGGTTGAGCTTTCCCTTGAAATTCACTTCCTCCCGTCTGTGTGCTCTCGGATGTGTTGCCCTGTGCAGGGAACGCACGACGATGAAGAGCGGCTCTACACGGCCGTTCCTATGCTCTTTGTGAAGGCAATATGGAAGAATGCGCGAAGCGGCACCGCCCTCTTTTTTCACGTCGCTTGGAAGTGTCCTGACTACCGAGAGATGGCCAAGGACCTCCACAACCGGGCGGAAGGGTCGAGGAAGGAGGTGACCATCTCAGAAAATCTCGCTTGCGCTCGATTCGAATGTTTGTTAAGCACCGTCGAAGAACATGCCGCGAATATCGTGGGGTTCGCCAGGTATTCATGGGTTTGTATATTTTTGGCCTCAGAGGAATAACGCCATCGACCCCAAGCCCCTGCTTGCTTCGTCAGATAAGTTTCAGTATTCGAGATAACTCCAGGATTCTGGGGACAAAACGCAAGGCGCTCATCACCTAGACCACGAAACTAGTCTCGATATTCGGGGCATGGTTAATTCAGCCATTGTTCCTGTTGCACTTCTCCCTCGCATTCCCAGGGCAAGTATTCGGAGGCGGACTCTGTATACCTCGAAGCTAGTGAATTCAGCAGAAGACGCTAGGTCCTGACCAGACCTTGCCGAAAAGCTCAACTGCCGGGCTTTGGAAGCACGTTGCACTTAACTGTTTTGTAGCAAGCGGAGCTTTGTGGTGATGCGTTTCCCAGGATGTGACGATTTTTGCTCTTGCACCATCGACAACAAATTTTGGTGGATTTTGTTTCTCGCTGGCAATGCATTCCCTCTCAACAACCTCTTGGTTGCTATTTTGAAAATGTACTGAGGCCTAGGCAGTGAATGAGCGGCTGTGACTATAAGGAGTTGAGGAACTGTATTGGAACTTTCGTAAGGTGCACACGTCTGTTGCTGCAACTTGGTACAGTGTTTCGATTTTCGTGGGTCACTGCCTCACAAAGCCCAGTGCTTGCAACAATGGCAAGCACGCTGGGGCTGAGACATCTGCGTGTTGCACATGGATGCGGCGCAGTAGCTCAATACGCAGCGCGCGGTTGTTACATGGCGGTTCCCCGGCGGTAGGCTTGACTGGTCTCGACGACGAGATCCTGACGCGATTCCCGTCATACTCCAGGGCAAGCATGCTGAGGCGGACCCTCTGTACCTTCGAGCTATCGACATTAAAGAGTGGACATTGTGTCCGGACCACCACGATCTTGCTCCATTGCTCAGCAATCGAGCGTCCTTGTTAGCGAAACAAGTGAGAGCTCGGAGAGGTTGGCAGGAATCCTTTGATGATGGGTCTGATGCAAGTTTGTAGTGGTGCCAGGACGTCACGGTAGAGTTCAGGAGTAGTGTTGGAGTTCCCGTACGGTTCTCACACGTGTTTGTGCGATTCACCGTGTTTGGCGGGTCTCTGCCTGACAACAGTAGCCCGACTGTTGGCTACGCGGAGAATTGTGGTGTGACCGATAATTGTTTTTGATCAACCCGAATCTACAGGAGAGAAGTGACAAATAGGTCTGGAGTACTTGGGTGTGGCTCGATCGCTCTACAACAGAGCGTGGTCTGACGGGCGGGCTGTCCTAGCCTTGACGACCATCCTGACGCGTTTCCCCGTCATACTCCAGAACAATTATGCTGAGTCGAACCTTCTGTACCTTCGAGCTATCGACATTGGAGAGAGGACATTGGACCCCGATCACCCCGATCTTGGTGTTTTGCTCAACAATCGGGCGTCCTTGTGAAGGAAACAGGTGCGAGCTGGGAGAGGTTTGCAGGAATCCTCTGATGATGGTTCTGATTCAAGTTTGTTGCGTTTCCAGGACGTCGCGGTAGAGTTCAGGAATGATGTTGGAGTTCCCCGCGCGGTTCCCGCACGTGTTTGTGTAGTGAACCTCGTTTGGTGGGTCTCTGCCTGACAACAACTGCATGGGAAGCACGCTAAGACCGAGGAAGGCGGTTCAAAACCGTACGAGAGAACGCACTAGGTCTGGAACATCTGGGTGTGGCCCAATCGCTCTACAACTGGGCGTGGTTGTTAAACGGTTGTTCCTCTGCAGTAGGCGCTACTTGCCTTGACGACGATGTGACACGTTTCATCGTCATACTCCAGGGGAAGTTCGCTGTGGCGGACCCTCTGTACCTTCGGGCTATGGACATTGGGAAGAGCCCATGGGGCCCTAACCACCACCATCTTGCTACACGGCGCAACAGTCGAGCGGTGTTGTTAGGAAATCAGGCGAGAGACGGCGGGTATTAATGGGAAATTCGAGGAAGCCTCTCATGATGTTCTGATGGGAAGTTAGTAGTTGTTCGAGGATGTCGCAGTAGAGTTTTTGAGTTAGGGTTGGAGTGCTCGTACGCGTCACGCACCTGTTTGTGCAGTGCACCGTCAAATGGTGGTTTAGCGGTCAAGCTCCACGACCGCCTATGCGGCAGGATGTGCATTCGATTTTCCCGGCCGGGGGTTTGTTTCCCGCAGGATTTGTATTCAGGAAGCTGTGGTAGGATTCGACCTAGGTCGTGAGTGTGCACACTTCGTCTTCACGGTCTATGAGGTAAAGAGATGGCTGAGCCCTTCTCATGACAATATCTAAGGCGAGCACCGCAAGGGAAAGAGTGGGGCACCAAAACACATCAAAATTGAAAGTTGCTCCTGCTTGGTATTCCTCTTGTGTGACCCCGGCAGATAAGTCAGGTGTATGCATCTCAAGGCGTGTAGACTGGCGCCAGAACATACAGTACGAACGTCCTCTTGCTGAAAACAATATCCCGTCTGCTTGCTACGCTTGGAGAGTATGTTGGAAAGGAACAGGACGATGATGAGTCCGACGGCATATGGCAGAAGTCACTAGGTTTGGAATATCTGGGTGTTGCTCAATCGCTCAACAACCGGGCGCGGTTGTTGAGCGCTTGTTCCTCTGCAGTGCGCGTTCCTAGCCTTGACGACGGTCCTGATGCGTTGTCCCGTCATACCCAGGGCAAGTATGCTGAGGCGGACCCTCTGCACATTCGAGCTATCGATATTGGAGAGAGAGCATTGGACCCCAACCACCACGATATCTATGGCTTGGCGATCGGGCGTGGTTGTTACAGCAACAGATGAGAGCTCGGAGAGGTGCAGGAATCCTCTAATGGTGGTTCTGGTGCAAGTTGGTAGTGATCCCAGGACGTCGCGGTAGGGTTCAAGAGTAGTGTTGGAGTTCGCGTACGGTTTGGTGGGTCTCCTCCTGACAACAGTAGCTCACCTGTTTGCTACGCGGGGAAACTATGCTGTGGCCGGGAATGGTTTTGATCAGCCCGAAGCTATCGGAGATAAGTCACTAGGTCTGAAACACCTGGGTGTGGCTCTATCGCTCTACAACAGAGCGTGGTCTGAAGGGAGGGCTTTCCTAACCTTGATGGCGGACTTCCGGGTTTCCCTGTCGTTTTCCAGGGCAAGTACGCTGAGGCGGACCCTCTATTCCTTCGAGCTATCGACATTAGAGAGAGGACATTGGACCCCGACCACCACGATCTTGCTGTATGGCTCGGCAATCGGGCGGTCTTGTTAGCGAACCAGGTGAGGGGTTGCAGAGATTTGTAGGAATCCTCTGATGATGGGTCTGATATTGTGGTTTTGGGACGTCGCGGTATATTTTTTCAGTGGCTTTGGAGTGCTCATACGGTTCCCGCACGCGTTTGTGTAGTGGACCTCGTTCGGCGGGTATCTGCCTAATAACAACTGCATGGAAAGCACGCTCAGGCCGATAAAGTCGATGATTGGTCCGGAGACATTCGAGAGAAAGCACTGGGCCTGGAATATTTGTGTTTGGCTCAATCTCTCTACAACAGGGCGTGGTTGTTGAGCGGTTGTTCCTCTGCAGTAGTCGTTCCTAGCCTGGAAGACGGTCCTGAAGCGTTTCCCCATCACACTCCAGGGCAAGTATGCTGAGGCGGACCCTCTGATCCTTCGGGCTATGGACATTGGGAAGAGCCCATTGGGCCCCGACCACCCTGATCTAGCGCTATGGCTGGGCAACCGGGCATGTTTGTTAGGGCAACAGGTGCAACGTGGCAGAGTTTGGCAGGGAGGCTCCCTGATGGACGCTTGTAGTGGGTCCAGGACGTTAAAGGAAAGTTCAGGGGTAGGGTTGGAGTTCTCGTACGAGTCGCGCACCTGTTTGTGCAGTGCACTTTCAAATGGTGGTTTAGTGGTCAAATTCCTCAGCGGCAGGCTGTGCATTCGGTTCTCCCTGCGGAGGGGTTTGTTACCCGCAGGGTTTACATTCATTAAGCTGTGGTAGGAAGCGATCTAGGTCGTGAGTATTCACACTTCGTCTTCAGGGTCGATGAGGTAAGGGGATGGCTAAACCCTTCTCGCGACAATGTCTAAGGCGAGCATCGCAGGGGGAAGAGTGGGGCACGAAACACATCTAAAGTGAAAAATGCTTCTGTTTGGTCCGCCTCAAACCTCCAATCCTAAAGTGTGAGAAAAAGCCACGAAAGCATGGATCTCAAAGCTTGTCGAGCCCATGCCTGAGGAGAAACTGGTCACCAAGCACGCGCAGTCGTCGACGTAGCGGTATCCGCACGCTGCAACGCAGTGCGGAATATCGTAGATTCTCTGATCGATGATGGAAAGTCTCGCCCTCTGCGTGGTTTCCACGTGTAGCGAGCATTCGGGCTGCTGTTGTGAGGCGATGCCCTACCAGAAAAGATGCATTGCACCAACGCCCGGTGGTTGAGCGATTGAGCGACTCCCTTATGTTCCAGACAGAATGCGTTGTTTCCTATGGCTCTATGAGGAACTGGGCCGCCGGAAACGAAGTATTGCATCAAATTTTGTTTACCTTACGAAATTTCCAACCCATTTCTCAAACCCTTCTACAGTAGTGAATACTCACTTCCGCGAGACAGCATCCATTGGTCAACTGTGCGCACTGCTGGTTCTCTCTGCCAGTTCTCACCTGCTTCTCTACAAATACCGCCCGGTTGTTGAGCATGGCGGCAAGCTGCAGGTGGTCAGGGCCAAAAGCCTTCTCTCCAATCTCGACGGCTCGCAGGTACAGGCGATCCGCCTCGGAATTGTTGCCCTGGAGCGGAGGGGGAAACAGAACGGATTGAACTCAAGGTTTGCGAACCTGCCGCGGAGGAACACCGGGTCGACGAGACGCGTGGTCGTAATTGTTGCCGGAGCGGAGGGGAAAACAGAAAGGATGGAACGCAAGATTTGTCGAACCTGCCGCGGAGGAACCCCGGGTCGACGAAACGCGTGGTCGTAATTGTTGCCGGAGCGGAGGGGAAACCAGAAAGGATTGAACGCAAGATTTGTCGAACCTGCCGCGGAGGAACCCCGGGTCGACGAAACGCGTGGTCGTAATTGTTGCCGGAGCGGAGGGGAAACCAGAAAGGATTGAACGCAAGATTTGTCGAACCTGCCGCGGAGGAACCCCGGGTCGACGAAACGCGTGGTCGTAGTTGTTGCCCTGAAGCGGAGGGGGAACAAGAAAGCATTGAACTCAAGGTTTGCCGGACCTGCCGCGGAGGAACACCGGGTCGACGAAACGCGTGGTCGTAATTTTGGCGACATCCGCAAGCTCAAGACCTAGCCCCGTATCTCGTATGGGTTCTGGAGAATCATGGAGTGTCTTGGGCTCGCCGTACTTGCCATGTGTAACAAGCAGGCGGGTCGTTGTTGTGAGGCAGTTGCCCAACGAACAAAGTCAGTTCGCTCAACTACGCGTGAACCCTGCTACAGACTCCAAGGCAACACTTCAAGCCTACCCAACCCTACCGGGACACCCTGCACCCACCGCAACCACCACGTACTCACCCGTTTATCTAGCAATGACGTCCGGGTGCCAAGCAATACTGACAAATGAGGGTGGTCAGGGCCCAACGTTCTCTCCGCCACGATAGCTAGAAATGACAGAGGGTCCGCCTCGGCATACTTTCCCTGGAGTACATGACGGGAAAACGCGTAAGGATCGCCGTCAAGGCTAGTCAAGCCTATCGACAAGAACGCACGCCCAACTCCGCCTTTGGTGTTGAGCGATCGAGCCTCATCCAGGTGTACCAGGCACAGTGCAGTATCTCCAAAAGCCCAGCCTTACCGTACTTGCCGTTATTGCAAGACCTGGGCTTTGCGAGGCTGTGGCCCTCCAGAAACGAAATAGTGCACCAACACGTACGAATTTTCCAGCAACGTTCCCCAATTCATCTACCGTAGTGAATACCCCCGCATTTCAAAATCCACGGATCTCCACGTCACGCTTGTTGGCAGTCTGTGTCAGGTCTCACCTGTTTCTTTAGTAGTACCGCCCGATCGTTGAGCCGTCCAGCGAGATCGGGGTGGTCAGGGCCTAGCGCTTCCTCTCCAATCTCGATGGCTCAAAGGCACAAATAGTCCGCCCCAGAAACCTTGCTCTGAAGTATGAGGGGGAAATAAAGGATTGAAGCCAATGCCTGCCGAGCTACTGCGGAGGAACGATGGCTCAAACGAACAAGCTTCAGATTTGCGCGATGGGGCCGCATCGGGGTCTTATGGCGTGGAGTTCGATCTCGCATAGGTTCTGCACGGTCATAGAGAGGCTTGCCCTTAGCGTACTTCCAACGTGTAGCAAGCATGTGGGTTGCGTTCGAGGCAGTGGCCCACCAAATACGACACACTGTACCAACAATTTCTCCAGTATCATACACCGGTTCGCTTCCCGACGTTTGCCATACGACAATACAGACCTCCAACACAATCCTTCAAATCTACCGGGGCATCCTGGAAGCACTACCACATCCGCCAGTACATCCTGAGAGTCTTCCCTCAACTTGCAGCAAGGACTCACCTATTTCTCTAACGACGAGGCCCGATTGACCAGCCATAGAGCAAAATCGGGGTGTTCGGGGCCCAATGTCCTCCCCCCAGTGTCGATAGCTCGGAGGTGCAACGTGTCCGCCTTGGCATATTTGCCCTTGAGATTGACGGGAAAATTCGTGAGGATGGTCGTCGAGGCTAATCAGACCTACTACAGAGGAACATCCGCTCAACAACCACACTCGGTTGTTGAAAACACCCACGCATGGTTGAAGGGCGATTGAGCCGCATTCAGGTGTTCCAGACACGGCGCATTCTCGTATGACTCAGCCGCAGCGTGCTTACATTTTTGTAAGCGCCGGGCTGTGTGAGACCGTGGCCCAGCCGAAGCGAAACATTGCACCAACAAGTGGGCGCACCGTACAATTTGTCCAACAAGGTTCCTCAAACTCATCTACAACAGTGAATACTCCCTTCCGAAATCCAACATCAATAGGTCACCAGTACACGTTTCCTGGCAGCAGCAGTCACATCTCACCCTTTTCTGTAACTTTACCGCCCGGTTGTTGAGGATGGAGGCAAGATGCGGGTGGTCAGGGCCCAACGTCTTGTTCCCGATCTTGATGGCTCGAAGGAACAGGCGGTTCGCCTTGGAATCATTTCCCTGAAAAACGAGGGGGAAAAACTCTAGGTTGCCGATATAACGCGGAGGAACACCAGCTGAAAAAACATGGCCTTGGTGCTGAGTGGTTGGGTGTGCCCGGATTTCCGGCCAAAGATCGGCTTTCGATAAGTTTTGAACGGTCGTTGTGGCTAGCCTTTACGGGCTTTGAATGTGTTACCAGTTAACAAGTCGATGGACCATGGGTTTGAGGCAATAGCTCACCAGACACGATGAATTGCACCAAGACATGCGTGCCACGGGCAAGAACTCCAACACAACTCCTCGAATCGACCGGGACATCCTTCATGTCCTACAACCTCCAACACAAAAATCACGAAGAGGCTTCCGGAAATCGTTGCAAGCTCTCACCCGTTTCTCCAACAGCGACACCCGGTTGCCAAGCCAAACCCGGAAATCAGGGTGGTCAGGGGCCAATGTGTTGATAGCTCGAATGTACAGAGGCTCGGCCTCAGCATGCTTGCCGTGGAGTATGACAGGAGCATTGTCGTTAAGGCTGCTGAAGACTATTGCCGCATATGAACCTCTCAACAAGCACGCCTTGGCTACTGAGCGATTCTGCCACGCCAGGGTTTTTCAGGCACAGTGCGTTCTCTCCTTTGGCTCAGCTTCCACGTGCTTGCCACTGTTTCAAGCACTGCGTTCTGGGAAGCCGTGTCTCACTGGAATCGAGAACAGTGCGCCAACACATGCCTACGAATCCTACTCCTCAAGTCCTTTATTAAATACTTTACACTCCCGCCCACCATACAACATCCATGGCTCGCCGGTACACGTTTCCAGTTACGGTTCAGTTGCTCCCACCTGCTTGTCCAAAAATAACGCCCTACTGCTGAGCATGGTGGCAACCATCAAGTGATCAGACCCCAATGTTTTCTCCCCAATCTCCGTGGCTCGAAGGTACAGATGGTCCGCCTCAGAATCCTTGCCCTATTGCACGAGGGGCAAACAACAGGATTGAAGTCAAGACATTACAGACCTACTGCAGAGAAAAAAATAACGCCCTACTGCTGAGCATGGTGGCAACCATCAAGTGATCAGACCCCAATGTTTTCTCCCCAATCTCCGTGGCTCGAAGGTACAGATGGTCCGCCTCAGAATCCTTGCCCTATTGCACGAGGGGCAAACAACAGGATTGAAGTCAAGACATTACAGACCTACTGCAGAGAAAAAACGAAATAACGACTCAACAAACAAGCGAGGTCATCGATCAGGCGGATCCGGCCGCTCCCGCCCAGTGCCGAATCTCGCATAGCGTCAAACCCGATCATCGCGTGTCTCGGTCTGAGCATGCTTCTCGTTCGTAGCAACCAGGGCTGTTGCTTGTCAGGCATCCGCGTACAGGTAACAATGTGAATAGTTCACGAACATATGATTGGACACAAGCGAAAGTTACCCGACACTCTCAAAGGTTTTCTTGACTAGTCAGCAGTCCACAACAACATCCAAGGACAACCACGCGAAGCACCATGGCAAAGTCTGACGGCTCTAACCTGTGCCTCTAGCACCCAAGCCCGAGTAGAGAGAATTGCAGCATGATCGGGGTGCTCAGGGCCTAGGGTTTTCTCCCCGATGTCGGCAGCTCGAAGGGACAGAGAGTCTGCCTCAGGAATATTCCACTAGGCATGATTAGAAAATGGGAATGGCAAGCGGTCAAGGATAGTGACGCTCACGGCGGACAAACAATCGAAAACGAAAACAATTCCAAGCCTGGTCATTAAACGATTCTTTAGTCAGCATCCTCTGAAATTTTACTCGTTTATGGCCTATGCCCCTCCAAGGAGTGGCTCAGTCTCACCGGACTACACGTATTGGCAAGGGTTTCCGTATGACGTCAGCCGGCCAGAAACGATGAGTGGTATGAGACACCAGCTTCCCTCGCATTTCCCAAACAAAACACTCTACCTGACTGCTCAACAGTACCACTCACCTGTGCCCGCAACACGAAAGCCCGGTTGCTGAGCCATGAACCTAGATCCGGGTGGTCAGGAGCTAGCGTCGTTTCTCCAATCTCGATAGATCGATGGTACAGAGCATCTGCTTCAGCATACTTGCACTGGAACATGACAGACGAAGACGATAGGAGTGTGATCATGACCAGTTGCGCGGAGAACAAACTCCCGACAACCACGCCTATCATTCGCTCGCATCTGGATTCGCTCGGACCTAGCACCAAATCTGACATGGCTTATCGTTCCTACTGGAGTGGCTCAGCCTCAACATACAACAGTTGGATGTTGTGGTGAAACGGTGGCGAATCAAACACCAAACATGTCGCCAATGAAAGTGGGGACTGGCACAGCTCTGTCGTGCATTCCTCATCACACCGGACTACTGAGAAACAAATCTCGCCCCGTTCTGCAGCTTCTCCTCTGAGGATTTTCCTGGTAGGCGCTGATGGCTCTCAGCTCAGCCCGCCACAAATCCGCCCGATCGCTGAGCCATCCAGCAACATCAGGGTGGCCAGGACCTAGCGTCTTCTCTCCAATCTTGATAGCTCGAAGAGTGAGAGGGCCCGCCTCTGCAAAACTCCCCTGGTGTATACCCATCCCCGATCAGGTGGGATTCTCATCATTGCGAGTGCTGTCTACCGCGGAGAAGGAGCGAATCGACAACACTTGCACGCTCCAGACTCAGAAGAGATGGCCCGCTCATAGGGCGCGACAGGCCACGAAAATGCGTTTCGCATGACTGCAAGCAGGGGATAGTTGCTGTGAACAGTGGCCCACCGGCCACGAGGCATTAATATTCCCCACATGTTTGGACCATACAAAATTACCCAAAAAACTCACCAACCGGTCAAATCATCTCACCTGCTCCTGCAAAAGTACCGCTCGGATGCCGAGACACGGCGCAAGATGGGGGTGGTCGGGGCCCAGCATGTTCTCTACAATCTCGATGGCTAGAAGGGACAGAGTATCCGCCTCGGCATACTTCCCCTGCAGTGCGAGGGGGACACGCGAAATACCATGAGCGTGCTCGTGTCAACAAGTGTGGAGGAAACAATCCCAACATCCACGTTTGCTTGTATGATTCTCTGAGAAATATGTTCAGTTGGCTGCATGTGTTGTGCTCGCTGTTCCGAAACGATCACTTGCTGAAATAGAAATCACAAGGTTCACGCAGACACCACCGACGTCACAACCTGAGGCTTGGGATCCATTGACTTATCCTTCGCCTCTTATGAGCGCTGACAGATCGCGGCAGCCAATGTGCATACTACGTAGGTTAGGTCGCAAGCAAATTGGTTTGTGTGAGGCAGTGGTCCACTAGAAACAGATCATGACCGCCAACAACATCTGTACCATGGGAACACGCCATCTAAACTACGCTTGACTAAATTGACAATCCCTCCGGCCTCACAATCCCCACGAGGGCGACACCTCAACTCTCTTGGCCATTTCCTGATACGCGTACCTGCGCTAGCAACAGATCCGACCGGTTGCTAAGTCTTGTAGCGAGATCAGGGTGGTCGGGGCCATGAGTTTCTCTCCAACCTCGATGGCTCGAAGAGACAGAGGGTTTGCCTCTGCATACTTGCCCTGGAGTACGGGGGGGAGCATGCTATGATGCAGAGTCAGGTAAGGAAGCGCGAAAGAACATATTTCGATCAACCACGCCTGGGTAGATCAAGTGCGTCCATACCCAATACCATACGTATGCGGTCGTGCGAATTTGACAATTGTTTTCAGCGCGTCAGCCTCATTTATCAATCAAGTTCGCATACAATAGATGATCGTGAGAAACGACTTTTCACCAAAAATGGAGTGGATCGTGGAAGAGCAATACATAAAAAAACCCATCCCCTGACAAGCAACAACCCCGCCCCCTCCACGAAACTCGCAAGGTGTTGCTGAACAAACCTTCCTGCAAATCTCATCTGACTATTTAACAAAAGAGCTCGGCCATTGAGCGTTGCCGCAAGGTCTGCGTGGTCAGGACCTAGCGTCTGCTGCTGAATCTCAATAGCTTCGAGATACGCAGGGTCCGCCTGCGCGTATTTGCCCTGGAAAGCAAGGGACACATACAACAAGGAACATATGCTCTAAAACCACGCCCCGGATATTGAGACTGGTCTGGGCGATGAGCTTCTTGTGGCTGGCCGCCACAAATCGGGGCTTTGGTTTCGTTGGTAGAAGGTTCATTATTGGGTGGAGAGGTGGGTAGATGCCAAACTCCCAATTCCACCAAGACAAAAAAAACATATCACGAACACTTTCTGAACCCCACAAACTTCCTCCGAACATTCGTCGAGTTATCCAAGCAACGTTCGATTGTTGAATTGAGCGGAAGCAAGATTTCGTGGTCGTCACCTGTTTTTCTCAAACTCTCCACCCCGTCGTAGATATCCTTAGCCATCTCTCGGTGGTCAGGTCGCTGGTGCAGTCGATCTCCATTCTCACGCGCGACCTGCAAGTACAGGGTGACAGAGGAGGTTCAAAAACGACATACTAACTTTTCTAAGCGCTGATGGGAATGTTGACATTCAGAGTTACAGGATCCGCACAAAGCAAATGATCACCAATTTGAATGAAACGTAATAGGATGTGATTCCAATTCGATAGCGCAACAAAACAACAGAGGCGCAATTGACGAGATTGAACTGTAATGTTGAATACGTTGTGAGCAGTGCTGCAGTATCGCACAACTTAGCTAGTGGCAGCTTCTCACTTTCGTGGTGACGTCCTGGTCGATCATCTCGGTGAGCTGTTTGCATCCGCCGCTTGTTCCAGCTGACGGTGCGAGAGCTGTGTCTGCGATCAGCAAATCCATACTCGGTGCCTGTACGTTTCCAGAGTCTCGAGGCAGCGCGGTGGTTCCGACCTCCTCTTTTGCAACAAGGGGTAACGCCTCAAAGCCATCACTAACCGTATCCGGTGCCGCTCCGACCCCATCGCTTGATGGGCCAACACTACGCTGGGTACCTGGTGACGAGGTGGCATCCACGGCAACTGCGTTGTGATGGCGAGGATGTCCATTACGCGACACAACGCTTGCCAGCGTCTTTACCTCGGGCCCAAACCCGTCGGGGCGATGCGTGGGGTCTTGCTTCCAGCACTGCTCCATCAGAGGCACGACGTGTGGCGACGCAGACGCCCGCTCTAGCATCTGAGGTAGCCTTTCGTTCAGGACGACCGCCTTAATCACTTGCGTAGGGTTCATTCCCTTGAACGGCTCCATTCGGGTGATCACCTCGAAGCAGACAACACAAAAACTAGCAGAGCAAGGCGCAAGTAGGCAAAGGATTGATGGTTGAGGATGCTCTGCCGAAATGGGACGCCCATGAAGTGGCGTCCTGGAACCATATGTGAAACATTTCGTCGATGTTTTCGCGCACCGCCTCCACTTCAACCCAACCACCGTGTCGAACGAATGAAACTTACGGGTTTCTATGGTCCTAACGTGTCCTTCCGGCTCAGGAAACGGAAGGAAACGAGGTGTGGGGGATTGGCGTGGGTAGAAAGTGCTGGAAAATGCATCTTTTTTCAGTTTTCAGGCTTTGTTCCGTGATGGGATGTTTGCCCGCGTTGGCCCTGGGCAAGCCGTAAGCGCAGTTTCCTTTGCCTTGCATCACCCTGGGCCTAAATGGGATGTTGAAACAAGACATCACAATAGTCATGCATACTGCAGAGGCACTTGGCCGGTGTCCGAAATCGTCTCGCAGCCTATGCCGGTTACGGGGGTCAGACGGCACGGTGACGTGGAGGCAGTCTCTGCTTGAACAGATTTTTGGAGCCTCAATCAACTGCGGAAGGCTGTGCGACTTAAAACAGACGGCCAGAAAATAAGCTGTGGTTATTGGTGTTTTGTACCTGCCCCTCTTGCCCGTGCACTCCACTCGTGTTGCGATCTTGATCATATCCGCCGTCACCTTGGGGTCCTTGTCGAACTCGGTCACTGCGACCATGCGCATCGCGGCAGAGAACAAGTTGAACAGCAGCGGGGCCAGGTTGCACCCCTGTCGGAGACCTTGGCCGACGTCAAACCATTCCGAGTACTGCCCGTCGTCCGTTCGAACCCGCGCCCTCATGCCCTCGTGGAAGTGGCGAATGACCGCCAGCATCTTCGGGGGCACGCCAAAGCGTCCGAGCACGTCCCACAGCAGATCTCGGTCCACCGAATCGTACGCCTTGGTGAGATCGACGAAGCACGCGAAGACCGCAGTACTCTTCTTCCTCGCGAGCTCATGGAGCCGCTGGATCGCGAACAGCATGTCGAGCGTCGACCGGTGTGGGCGGAAACCGCTCTGCTCCTCCGGGAGGATGCCCTCTCGCTCGCAGTAGTGGCTTAGGCGTGTTGCAACGACCTTAAGCAGCACCTTGCCGGCGTGTGCAACGAGAGAGATGCCCCGGTAGTTGCCGCACTCCATCGTGTCCCCCTTCTTGAACAGAACCTTGATGGTGGCGTCCTTCCACTGCTGCGGTACGTTCCCCGTCTGCCACACGTCCACGACGATGGCGTGGAATTCGCGGAGGAAGCCTCGGTCTCCATCCAGGAACAGCTTGATCAGCTCAGCCGGTAGGTCGTCCGGCCCGACGGCCTTCCTGTTGGCCATTCCCCGCACCGCCTCCTCAACCTCGAATAGAGACGGGATGTCGTCGAGCGGAACGCACGTGGGCCACTGCTTGACTCTGTCGGTCGCATGCAGGTCGATGGTCGGCGACTTGGTGTTAAGGAGCTTGTGGAACCACCGCGCCCACCGCTGGCGGGTAAGCGTGGGGTCCCGAAGGACCTTACCGTCCTCGTCCTTGATGTTCTGGGAGGTAAGTGGCCTCTTACCTTCGACGTCGATCATCTTCAGGTGCCTGTAGAAACCCGCCTGGTCCCCCTCACGGCTCTTCTTCTCGAGCTGCCTCACATAGCCCTCGAAGAACTTTTCTAGTGCTCTCCACCTCGCGCTGCTGCGTTTCTTCCGCGCCGCCTTGAGCTTCGCCTTCAGGGTCGTCTCTAAGTCGCTGTTCTTTAAGGCCCCGCGCAGCTGCTGTTCCGAGGTGTGATAGGGGGTTCCCGATGAGTTGGCGCTTGTGTTGCCGCAATTCGTCCTGTCTGGTAGACCACCGATTGACCACAAGGGCCCGCATAGCTCCGCATGAGAGGTACGCTGAGGCCGAGACACGAGAATGATCGGTAAAAAGCCGCTACGACGCTTGGCCTGGAGCGTCCGGATGCCTCTAAAACCTATCACCGCTCGTGTCTGTTGAGTCATAGTTTCTCCGCAGTAGTCTAGGCTCGTCAAGCCATGAAGTCAATCGTTCGGTTTACCGTCATGCTTCAGGGCAACGTATCTGAGACGGACCGTCTGTTGCTTCGAGCCATCGAGATTGGGGAGAAAACGTTGGGCCCTGATCAACTGGGGCTTACCACCATGCTCAACAACCGGGCGTTGTTTTGGAGAATCAGGTGAGAGCTGACAGAGATACATCCCGGAAACGTGCGCGCTAGCTATAGGTAGATGTTGTAGTGCGGGCACGAGCATTCGGGATGTTTGAACAATTTTGTTGGATTTCATGCATGTGTTGACGCGATGTTTTCTAGCCCAGGGCATGTAACAGTGGCAAGCATGCTGAGGGTGAGCCGCACAAAATATTGCAGTGTGCCTCGAACACCTAGGTGTCGCCCAATGACTGAAACAACCGGGCGAAGTTGTCGAGCGGTAGTTCCTCGGCGATAGGCTTGACAAACCTCGACAGCGATGACACGTTTACCAGTCATGTTCTAGGGCTTTTTTCCTGAGGCGGACCATCTGTACCTTCGAGCCATCGACATTGGGGAGAGGACACTAGGCCCTGACCACCCGGACTTCGCTGTACGACTCGGCAATAGGGTGTCATTACTAGTTAAACAGGTGGGTTCCCGTTCTTGCAGAAGGTTTCAGGAAGCCTCTCGTAGTGTTCAGCTGGAAGTCGAAGTGCCTCCAGGATGTCGGGGGAGCGTTGAAGAGTTGTGTTGGCGATCTTTGTTGGTAAACTCGTGGCTTCTGGGGAGAATATGTTCGTATTGATGAGACCTTGGATCAGGAGAACAGGTCAAAAGGTGAAGTGAGCGAGGGTGGGGCTAACACCGCAGCACAGCAGTACCACAGCACCACTCATGTCGCTCGACCAACGCACAAAAGCAGAACACAATGATATCGGAACACAATGACTCAACAGACAGGGGGCTAACGTACTTCACAACGCACCATGAATCCTCTGACTGTTGCACTATCCACAAGAAACACACTCGGGGTAATGTACCATCCACGAAGAACATTCCCAAAGAACGTTCCTTGCTGTTCTAATAATATGTGGCTACTCAGTGGTCTTCAACGCAGACAGTCCCGCAACTCAAACTGTCCAATCAAATTGTTCTACGTCACCCTGTCGACACACACAGCAGCAACTATCACGAACAATCTTGTCGGGTTCATGCGTTTGTGCAAGAATTCGTATTTGTTGTGCCAAAGGCTCAAATGCAACAATCCCACCTGCTTGTTACACATGGGCAGTACACTGAGGCTAAGACACTCTATTTGCGTTCAGAAGCCACACTAGATATGGCGCTCGGACTGGGGCGTCCGGATATCGAAATAGGCGACCGCGCGTGTCTGTTGAGCCATTGTTCCTCCCAGTAGGCTCGACCAACATTGAGTTCAACCCCTCTAACCTCCCGTCATGTTCCAGGGCAAGGATGCTGAGGCGGACCGTCTCTACCTTCGAGCCATCGTGGTTGGGGAGAAGACGTTGGGCCCTACCCACGTGCAGCTTGCCGCCATGCTCAACAACAGGGCGATATTTTTAACGAAGCAGGTGGTGACCTATGGATGTTGTAGTGCCGGCTGGAGTATTCACTATCGTCGATGGATTTGCGGGATATTGTTGGAAGTTCCATACGATTAGTACACAAGTTTTGGTGCAATACTTGCTTCTAGTGAACCATTGCCTCACACGAAGCCCGATCCTTGCAACAATGGCCAGCACGCTGAGGCTGCGCCATACGATAAAAACTCAGTGTGCGTGGAACTGTGGCTGAAGTGCTCAACAGCCAGGCGTAGGCGTTTAGTGGTTGTTCCTCGACGGTAGGCTTGACATGCCTTGATGCCTAGGAATCGCGTTTCCCTCATACTCCAGGGCAAGTTTGCTGAGGCGGACCCTCTGCACCTTCGGGCTATCGACATCGGGGAGAGGACGTTGGGGTCGGACCACCCCGATTTGCTGTATGGCTCGGCAACCGGACGTCGTTGTTAGAGAAACAGGTGAGACGACGGCAATTTGTTTGGAATGTTTTGTCCATGTTATTGCAATGTTTTGTTGGAAGTTGAGGTGTGCAGGATGTCCCTGTTCCGGCGAGATTTTCGTAAGCAACCTGGCTGAACTACGTACTTGTTGTAGGTCAGTGCTTGCCTGTTGTGCCGAGCGACCGAACTAGCGTCAATCTATGGCTTGTTGCCATGTTCGTCGGGCATTCGGTTGTTTATCAGAAATCACACGAGTGAATATTGGAACCCACCGTGAACTGTCCACGACAGGGGAGGTACAGGGAAGCGATCCCGTTCTTGGAGAGGATCGTTTCATCCCAGACGAAGAACCTGGAAGAAAATCATCACGACACGGTCGACGCTAGGAACAGGCTGAAGCGTGTGCGAAAGCACACGATGTCAATCGCCTGCCTCAAGAACCTTAGGAAATGAACTAAGTTTTGTATATCTGACGTGGTCTGACGTTTTCCTCAAGAATGTCGGCGCACAGTTTTGCTAGTAGAAATACACGGACCTTGATTTACAATTCCAAGTGTTGAAGGGCAGTCTAGCTGAAATCGGGGCCGCGAGAAGTGGTGCCGCGTATTCTCGTTTCAGCACGCGACTATTGTCACCGCCAGGGTACGTTGGAGGTTGTTGGGAATATGATATGGAAGCGTTACTTTCCGGCGAAATCGACGTCACGTCGCACGAAGACATGTATGCTCAACATGCAGAAGGATTTAACATCTAGGGGATATCTATGGTGCACTTTTCTCGTCATTTTCGTGTACGTACGCGTCTACGGATGACGCGACTCTGGCCCTTCCACGAAGTGTGACAATCCTTGTCTTTGGATAACCTCGTTACGGCGGCTACGTGTGATCTGTCGAGTCCACTCCTCCTCTTTCGAGTTGCACAGAAGTGAACCTTCATTCAGTCAGTGAAGTTGTTGTTTTCATGACTTGAACACAGGGAGGGTCCAGTGTCCGGCGGGTGCGCTCGACAGACTGAAAGGATGTCGTCCCACTTTGCTTGTGATCGCGAGAAGCGATCGGAGAGAGCGAATATGCGCAAGAAGATGCAACACGTGAATTGCGGGTAGCCTAGATGTGACTCCTGCATGGTTGTAGAGGAACTACAATAAATAGTTGGGCTTGACGGGGTCGAAGATGTCGTCTCGTGTGTTTGCGTGCAGCTTTCCGCGTGTGCAGGCCATCTAGGTGCACATGGCAGCACAACCACATCGAGAACATCAAGTTCACGCCACGACGCGGACTCTTGGTCGTATGTGCGGGCTTCTACTCTGGAAACTATGGATGGATGTAGAGGTTTTCCCGCTGCGTCTTCTCCGAGGTTATGCGGTTTCCCCCCTCCGCAACGCGAAGCAACGAGGCGAGAACACTATTCGAGGAAGGCACCGAAGATAGAGAAAAGAGATGTGTGGGGACATTGTCGTTGCAGACCGCAACACTCCTCACACCAAATACGGCCACATCCATTCACCAAACCCAAGGGAGTACCCTTGTACACTGAAGGTTCAGTGTGGATACCAACCGATACTGATGACAACATTCACCGGAACGCTACACTTCCCAGCGCATCCCTCCTGCAGCTCCCTGCCGGGTCAGCGACACAATGTGCTCCACATTCTGACCTCCACATATTGGGGAGAAACTCTATGTTATCGGATTCATCGAGAAGGATGAACCACAAGAGGGAGGGTGAATGGATTAACTCGTCACAGAGCGGGTTGCCCGCTCGACCGCAAATATTTTCACAGTAATCTACAATCTACAATTAGTTATCTGTTGTACAAACTTCACTGTAGTGTTTCTCCTCTTCGATCTCTCTAGGGGTTGGGGTTGTACGCACAACCAAGATCTCTGTGATGCCGTCTGTGGATACGACGAGTTCATTATCGCGAACACGCTGTTCCAATTATATGAGTTGTTAGGCGCGAACACGCTGTTCCAATGACACATACCACGGTTTTGTCGAGAGCAAAATACTAGACAAGTTGGCTTCGGCCATCCTACGTTTCTTGGTCACCCCAGGTCTCCTTCTGTACGCGCAAGAACCGGCACTCGGAGTTAATCTGGAGTGGTTGTGCCCTTCGTGAATCATGACCTCGACTCGATCAAATACCTCTCCGTGTGCGTGCCCTTGTGTTGATGGCGAAGAAACGAACAGGTGGTCACAAGGTATTAGTGGTTCGGACTTGGCGTTTTCTTGAGGACAATCGTAAGATCAAGCGTTACATTCTCGGACAAGGGAACTACTGTTTATGTACGTAGCCTATGCCATAGTCTAATCTTGCAGCAACCGCATTGAGTTCGAAACACACCAGACCGATGAGGTTACCCTCGACCGTGTCAGAATCCCGTGAGCGGGTTGGTTGAATTGAACGTCGACGACCAGAGGTAACAGGACAAGCTACTGTAGGTTCATGACACGGTTAAAGATGAAGGTGTGCCTTCTTGGTGGAAACACTTCCATTTGCTTCCAGATCCATCCGAAAAATTGGTAGAATTCGGATAGATCGATTTCGGTAATAACCCTTGGACTGCAATTCACGAAGTTTTCCGTCAGGCCTCGAGATCTCACCTATTGCAACTGCCGTGGCTATGAGCGGCTGCAGCTACGTGTAGAATGCATGTAGATAGGTGCGTTCGGCTCCCACCCCGATATCTTTATGCAGCATGCTGGACGCGTGACGTGTGCGGAGCATTACCGTGAATTTTTGGAAGGATGCAGACAGATACTTTACCGCCAAAACGCCAAAACGCCCCCCGCGGGTGACTACAGCAGCATGTACCTACTAGGGTACCGAAGGCCCCCCCCGCCCCCAGTGGGCGCGGGAGCCCGAATCGCAAGCAAGAGTAGTCGAGGACATGTTGATTGGTCCCAAGCCCAGTGCTGCTATACAAGCACGGCTGACCCAGTTGACAGGATTGGATAGATGGTTAAGTCGTTTTATTAGGTCGTCCCACGTAGACAAGCGCACAGAAGAGAGTGGCAGCGGGGGGCAAGCTCCCGTGCCGCACACCAGTAACCAGTCGCAATAAATTCACCGCCGTAAAGATGCATCCATAACTCGGAACACATCACAGCTTGCTAAAGATACGCAGGGATTACCCCAAAGATCCCT